GTGGTGTCAACTCAGTGGGCAGGAGCTGTTTCACCTGGCCCAAGATCGACAGGTATGGAAAAATCTGATCCCATAAAATGGTTGGCCCCAACGGGCGTTAAGCCTAAGGGACATGATGATGGTGATGATGATTCATTTACATTAAATACAATTTGTTTTTCTATCAAGACACTAACCAGATTATCTATTAATAAAAATGAGATTAGAAATGAAGGTGCGCGATATCTTGCTGCCGCTCTAAGAGTGAATACGGTAAAACAACTTTTTTGTGTCACTTTTATCTCTTATTATCTTATATAGACACTTCAAAAGTTGAATTTATCTGACAATCCAATAAATTTTTTGGCAGATGAAGATCTCCTCAAGAACAGAATTACACGATGACGTGACTTTGATGATTCTATTCGTTTTGTGTTTTGTTTTCTTCATCCGATAACCAAGAAATGAATCATCTATACACATAGAGCGTCAGCTCTTATACATATCTCTCGCTGTCAGCTTTCGACGCATTCGTTGAACAGCTTTCTTAAATTCTTGAGGGTGTAGGTGGGTGTGGGTGTGGGTATGGGAGAGTTTGAAAATAGGCTTAAAAAGAAACTTTAATTAGAAATCTTCGCATTTGTCCATGATTCAATCTATTCAAATTTCATTTAAGGTATCCACGGCGATATGCTCAGATAAGTAAGAAAAACTTATCTAAAAAGATCATGAAATCAAAGCAGGACTCGAACCCATATCTTCCGATATCCGGTCGGCTATTTTACCAACTAAATTATTTGATTTTCCCTTCTGTTAATTAACAACAACATATCAAACCTTGAACAAGCGTGGGTGGGTGAGATATTCGTTGATTAGATTCAAAGCATCATATGATGCGTTTCGAACCTTGCTTAAGGGTTCATCATCAGGCATGTTCGGAATCTAGAAGCTACATGTATAATCGAATCACATTTCCTTATATATTGAACTTGTTGGCTGAGAAAGAAATCGGTGAATGGATGTTTGGATGATAATATCGTATGTTGGCGACATCTGAGATATCAATGTAGATGGCGGGTATGATTTATTTGGCACGATGATTGGCTTGGTTTATTGTTTGTGAATTATGTAAGTTGTATGATTTCATTTGGTTCATCGGCTAAATTCTAACTGAAGAAATTGGTATACATAAGTTGAGTATTGATGGATAGTCTAGGAAAGAAATTGAAAATGATAGTATATGCACGTTCTCGAACTATTTGTTGGATTAGCAGAGAAAAAAAAATGGTTATGTGGTGAAAGAAAGCTTTTCTATTGCTTGATGTTTATAATTCTGGTTTACATGAGAATTACAATGGAATACGATAGTACAAGTACAATGGAAAAACTGAATGATTAGGCGTTATGATTGTTCTTTCTTGCGTTGCTGTTCGATCAATTGCGTAATAAATGTTAATGGGTCGACGTTGTCTTTCTTTCTTAACATAGCACGTGGAGGGTTTTTATGAATGAAGTAGTGGTCTGATGTAGAATTGGTTGTTGTGACTAGAATGACTTTGACTTGTTGAAGTGGTGAAATTGGAAAGGCATAGTAATGCTTCCACCAATTGTAAAATTGCTTTGAGTAAACCTTGGTAATGCTGGAATCAAACAAATATCGTGGATACATCACTTCCTTGTTCCACACTTTTGGTTGTAATACTAATGGAGGGTGAGGGTGTGTGAGTCAAACATTACCACGATCGCGATTTCGATCCTTGCTTAAGGGATCATCATCAGGTAGTTTTTGACCTCATAGTCATCCAAATGATCCAGCGATCATAGATAAACCTATGTAGTTTGCATGTTCTGGAAGTATTTTCAGGCTTTTTAGTGCAAGGTGCTGTTCATACGCTTGTGAAGGTTGCAATATTGAATTGTAGCGTATGTCTTATATATAATGAATTGGGTGACTGAGAAACAATGCGGTGACTGGTTAGTGTTACCATAGGCGGGTGACATCTGACGATACTATAGATGGGGTTCGTCCTTGTTAATTATAGGGGGAGCTGATATTGATGTGTTATAGGTGTCATCGGTTGTACTCCGTTATAGATGTCGCCGACTATATTCCATTATAGATGGCGTTGTATATGATGTATTAGAGGTTGGGCGGTAGATTTGACACGGTGATACGGCAGGCGAACGTTGTGTGTATATGTGTACGAATGTGGGATTCATAGTGCGGTGGGGTTTTTTGGATAGTGCTGATCATGGAATGAGAGAATATTAGTTTTGCCGATTATATTGTAGTAATAGTTGGACTTCATTTGATGTTGATAGTCGATGTTAACAGGATCGACAAGCTTAAGAGTTGAACGCAAGTTTTCGGTTATTATAGTATTTCTCTCGGCTGCGGATGTCGTGATTATCTGATGAACACGGGTGGCGTAGCTCCGTTGAGCGTGTAGTGCTTGAAATACTTGAATAGTTGACGTAGCTGCGTCGAATGTTGAGTTACAATCTTACGTTACACATATGGAAATTGGAAGAAGGAAAATCTGCCGTGAAATAATCTTGGGTATAGTGTCAGAGTATAAAAGTTCGAATTTTTACGGCTTAGTCGGTATACGAATACATTTGTTATGAGAAGTTGGAGGCAACAGGTCTTTCATTGTGGATATGATATTATTTTTGGTCTACAATGATGAAGCATCGTCATGAAACGTATTTACTATGACTGGTGAAAAACAGAGATGTGATGGAGAGTTCTAGTGAGATTGATTGATAACAACAAAATACATGACAAGAAAATGAATCTTTCTCATTCAGGGTTCAGGATCAGAGTCTTTGTCATTTCTACTCACCCTCAAGATGGGATCCGATTCCGGGAAATTCCGGTCCGGAACACTGCTTCAACATTCCTATAGCTTTCTGTCGGGAACCTTTCGGATACGACGAGAACGGGTCGGAATGAGCCGGAAAATGGCTGCTTGCCCTTCGGTTCCGATTGTATCCGGAGGCCGGAACGTTCGTCCTGGGTACCGATCGTATATGACGACAATATTTTGATTTAGAGGAAGTAGCAAAATACCTCTCATTATTTTCTCCAGGTAAACGCATCAAATATCATATTTTTGTTTGGATTAACGACATGACTCACAACATTTTTCTTCCTAATGATGGTTATCTTAGATTTTTCACCGTATTGTGAATTAATCAAATACATTTAAGTGACGTATGTGTCATATTCACATTCGTGATATATAAGCAATTATCCTGGGTTCATTAGTCCTTTTATATGTTAAAAATCCGGACATGAATGATCATGACCTGTCAATCAAAATCTAACCATGCATGACCGTTATACAATATATATGCAATAGGAAAAAATGAGGAAGCTACCATTAATTCCAACGATAATTCGATCGGTATAATGAAGGTTATTATTTTTGCTGTATGGATTATTGGCATTATTGTTGCGAACGTACATGCCAAACCGACGGCAGTCGTAAGTGAAATTTTAATTTGAACTTATAGGAGATATATAATGAATAAGTTTAGGTTTTCACGAAAGATCCAGAAGCCAAGTTTCTCAATCTAGAACGACTACGTAAGTATTAGAGATGTTCTAATTTACATGGCCATTTGTTTTGTTTTATTTTTCAGCTGATGAAACTGAGGGACATGCGATTAATGCATCACGCAAAGCGGTAAGTTAACCATATTTCTATTACAATAATACTTTAAATTTATGTTGTTGAATTCAGCGCGGTTTGGTATTAATGGGCAATGGTGCACGTTGGTCTAATGGAATCGTTCCCTATCAGTTTGGATCAGGATATAGTATGTATTATCATCTACAATTTCATTGTCATCATCACTACAGATGACTAGAATGAGAGTTGTGTATTATTAATAAATTTATTTTATAGCCACCCAGTTACAAGCAGATGTTGTAACTCGGATGCGCAAAATAGAAAATTTAGTTGCTATCAATAATGCTCGATGTATACAGTTTCGACCAAGAGTCTCAACAGATTTATATTACATCACAATACAAAATGGTACAGGTTGTTCTGCACGGGTATGCAAAATTAACCATTTATATTTGCTTTAGAAATTTTTTATCTTATTTTTTTAAGCTTGGACAAAGTACTGGGAATGTGACATTACAATCTCCAGGTTGTTCTGATGATGGACGAACTTTTCATGAACTTCTTCATGCATTAGGTAAATCCGAGATGAAAGAACGGGAATGTAGATCTACTAGATATTCTAAATATTTGCCTCTTTTTTTCTAAACAGGCCTTTTTCATGAGCAATCACGAAGTGATCGTGGATTATATGTTAAAGTATATCCCGAGAATATGCAAACAGGTAATATTACTTGCTTGTCAAGACAGATCACACTGAATCAATTAATTTTTTTATTTCATTATTTTAGGAGCCGATCAGCAATACCTGATCTATGAGAATCCGATGGCTGATATGCTTAATAGTTCATACGATTATTCATCAGTTATGCACTACGCGAAATATGATTTCTCGAGCAATGGCAAACCAACAATGGAACCTATTCAATCAAACATTAAAATTGGACAACGTTACAATTTAAGTAACGGTGATATTCAACTAATTCGTCGATACTATAATTGTTCATCAAATGGTCCTACATTACCACCGTTCACAATACCAATCGAACCAGGTAAAAATCTTCACATACACTGTAAAAAAAGCGTAGAATTATAAACCCTCGAAAATGGTTGATGGTCGTGACATGAACCTTTTATGGGTTTGTGAACGTCATATATTTTCTAAAAAACCTTTGTTTTCCACAAAACTTTCAGGGGATTGTTATACGTTGCGTTTTCATAAACCTTTAGGGTAGATGAGCATTCATCTACCCTTAAAAGGCTTGTTCATATAATCATTAGAAGAACCGTATAAGACAAAAGCGGTTTTCGAGAGTTTATGAAGTTAATAAATCCTTTAAGGGTATATGAAAGTGCAACGTATAACATACCCTCCATATAAATTATAGGGCTAATGAATCCTTCATAAGGGTTGATTATTCTGCCCTTTTTTACAGTGTACATGCATACATACATAGATTTTTTTCCTACTGTATTTCTTTGTATCATATAGCATATCCATCCATGTTACTTTCGACTTATTCCAGTGAACTGACAAATCAAAACTTAATGTATAATCGTAATGGTAGTTCATTGCCTAACTTCTACTATGAAGTTATTAATGTAACAGTCCCAGCAGCTGGTTCATATATTTTCCAGTGCTACAGTAATATTGATACATTTGGTTATATTTATAATCAAGCATTTTACCCGTTGAGTCCGGCTATGAATTTAATAAACGCCTTTGATGATGAAAATATTGAGAGATGGGAATTTAGTTTTATGTTGACCTTTAATTCTCCAGACACAAGTCTGCTAGTTGTTACCACTTACAATCCTAATATGACAGGATCATTTCTCATTGCTGCCAGTGGATACAATAAAGTAACTTTTAATCGTACAGTTGGTACTGCTCAAATAACAAGTAGTACTTCTATCACCACTACCACCACCCCGAAGACAACAACAACGACAACAAGCAGCACTTCTACCACCACTACCACCACCCCGAAGACAACAACAACGACAACAAGCAGCACTTCTACCACCACTACCACCACCAAGACAACAACAAGCAGCACTTCTACCACCACTACCACCACCAAGACAACAACAAGCAGCACTTCTACCACCACTACCACCACCAAGATAACAACAAGCAGCACTTCTACCACCACTACCACCACCAAGACAACAATAACAACGAACAGTAAGTAAATCAAATCTATAGGAAATACATATTAAATGTGTTCATTCCTAGCTATATTGGATACTGGTCGTTGGTCAGAAACAGGTTCACTTGCGAGAGGTGGCGGTGAACATACATCAACTCTTCTTCCTGATGGGCGTGTCATCACTTTAGGAGGTAATGGGGGCCAAGATAGAATGGAAATTTACAATTCAACAACACGAACATGGATTGGAGGTCCATCAATGATGAATTATCGATCATGTCACACTGCCACTCTCTTACCAGATGGTCGATTATTTGTAGCGGGTGGTGGATATAATGGTGTATATTTTAATACTGCTGAGATTTACAATCCTGTGAATAATAAATGGACCGCTGTTAGCAATATGACTTTTGCTCGATATGGACATGCAGCAGTCTATCTACCAGCACCAATGAATAAAATCTTAGTCATGGGTGGATATGGAGATCCGAAGATATCTTGGTTTTTGCAGTCATGCGAATTATATGATTTCGTTTCAAATAAGTGGACAATCACTACTTCCATGATTAATAGACGAGTCTATTTTTCAGCTGCATACTTACTATCTATGAATATGGTCGTTGTCTTAGGAGGTGGCGATAACTCAGCAGAAATGTTTGATGTATTAACACTACAATGGACTCAGAGTTTGAATACAGTGTCAAACTATAGATCGGATTACACAGCTACATTACTTCCCAATGAACAATTTTTAATTACTGGTAGTGGTGGTCAATTTAACACTGCAAATTATTTATTTGATCCAAGAACAACACTATTTAAAGTTGCAGCAAATACTACGCAAGGACGAATTACACCTACTGCAACTCTATTACCATCCGGATTAGTTCTTCTAAGTGGTGGAATGTTAGGCAACGGTTCAATGTATCGTTCGGCTGAAATTTATGATTATCGCCTCAATACATGGCGTTCTGTAGCAGACATGAACATTGCTCGTTTTCGTCACACATCGGTTGTTTTTACTAATTGTTCTTCGTCATCACCAACAACAGTACTTGTTATAGCAGGACAGAAAGACTGGAGTAGCACACTCTTTGCTAGTTGTGAGCTTTTCTCGATCAATGCTTGAGCAATAAAGTTTTTTCTTTTATTTATATTCAAAAATATTTTTACTCATGATAAACCATGTTTTTCTTCCTTTACAAATAAATAAATCTTTCTATGACAACTGATTATGCAGAGTTTGCCGACGTATGATTATATCTACTATCCATTTTATGCAAGTCTTTCCTGACGTAAGTTCTTCTTAAAACGTATTGTTTGTGTTTTACAAATGTTTATCTCTCTTTCTCTATTTGTATATATTATGCTAATCCTGTTACAATTAAATAATTATGCGTCGAATTGTGCAGTCATGAATCTGTGCTCTCTTTCTATGGGTTTAGTTTTGAGGTAGCAATGAAAAATACGAAAGAAGAAAAACCCGTTGAGTTTTACAGTAATTGAAAATTTGTATAAAAATATTACACTTTCATACTCGTACATTGACATTTGATTTCAGCATTATTTTGTTTATTTTTTCAAAGAATACAAATACAATTTACAATGGATAAATCATCACAAATTGAAATAATCATTTTTTCTTCTTTCTTTGTTTGTATATTTTCAATCTATGAAGTATTCATTTCTCGTAAATAGTTCAGTAGTGAACGATATATGTTATATGGAATTTTTCCCTCTAAAATCTGTCTAATATGACAAATTATTCTAACTTGATAATAAAAGATGAATTTGACATATATTTTTGAGAATAAACATTACTTTTGGGACGTTAATATAATTCAAAGTTGTTAAAAAAGCTGTACGAACTAATGACGAATCATTTTTTGAATCTGTTTTTTCTTGTAAAATTTTAATAATTCATTCAATAAATAAATAACGCTCGTCGGGACGGACTCGCATTACCCTCGACTGAAAAGATTCATATGTAATAATCAATTTGTTATTGTTTTTTCATTTCATATAAGAGAAAATGTTTTCCAATATGAAGTTTATTTATTTGTTTTTCAATGAAATAAAGACAAATTGACGATATAATAAACAACTACATGAAAGAAAGCAAATAATTTTTTGTATTAGTTCTAACTAAATCTGTAAAGAAGTCAAAATATGAATAAAGTATATGCGAGTACGAATAAGAAGCGTGGAACAAAACATAATAGTTACGGTAAAATTGAAAACAAAATTTGGATTTCGATTACAAAACAACGAACTAATAGAGAAAATGTTTAATTATACAAGAGATTTGCACAGTTACAAGTGACACAAATGAATCCGATGTGCAAAATGAATGACAAGCAACGGTGATTTGTCTTTTCTATCGAATTTGTCAAAACCATTCTGAAAAACGCATTTGTGTTTCCATGTAGAGTTTGTCTAGTCTTTGCATCTCGGCAACTTGAGATTTGCTGGGTTTGATCACTAAGACTTTGTAATCAAAGTGTCGTAAAATAATTAAATCGTCCAAACGCTTCACTCTTGATAATGGTACATACACTGCAGCGATGTCATCTGTATCTTTTGGTAACTTCAGATCGATGACTACTTTACTTAAAGTTTGTCCTTGGCTTTTGTGAGTTGTGATAGAATATGCGGGTACAAGAGGTAACGCGCGTCGTTTAATCGATAACATTGCCTTTCTGTTCGTTTTTGATTTGTTGTTGACTTTCGGAAGAATATCCGAAATGTCAACCTGAAATGTTTGTTCCATTATTGGTATTGGGATAAGTTTTGGTTGAAGATTTTTAAGATTGCATTCAATTTTTGATTTGCTTATTTCGACCAATGCATATATTGGCTTGTGCACATACTGGATGTTCACTGGAAAAGTTTTTGAAAGACTATCGGTTGACACTGAATCAATATCATAAACTAGTTGTCTGAAGATGCCATTCATGCCATTAATTAATCCCAGTTCAATAGCTATATTTTGTGTGATTATAACTGGCATTCCAGGAACTAACGGTAATAAACTCGGTAAATGTTCAGTCTTACTATCAGATAGTTCTAATAATTTTTTTACAAGTGCCGGCTCTTCCACAGGCTTGCCTTTACAAAGGTCCTGAGCAACGCATACCATTAGATTGCAACCTGCTTGTACAGAATTATGAATTGCCGACCTGTGGTTTAGTTGCGTCCGTATTTCATTTCTAAATACAAGCATCGGAGCCTAAAACATGCGAAATAGAAAATATATGGGTGTAGAATACAGAAATATATTATTACTTGATTCCATGGTGGCTCACGAAGAGATACTGATGACTCTCCGACAACGCGCGTCAATAATAATTCATAATCTTCATAACTACATTGACCTTCACGAAGTCGCTCAAGTAATTGAAGGTATCGTACATCTTCTGTTCGCATCTGTTGTGTAAGTTTTACCACACAATTAATTTGTAGAATTAATGAACGCGCAACACGCTGTTGTATTTCTTTTTGTTTTCTGACGAAAAGTCAGTGTGTAATGGGACATCGTAGACAGGTCGATACTGTAGATAATCACCGAAGAATATAACGTTTATACCACCGAATGGAACTTGAGCATCGACATATTTAGCAGCACAAAGAATTCGGTTGAGTTTGCCGAGTAAAGTCAAACCAATCATACTCGTTTCATCAATCAAAAGATATTCTACAAGTGTCTATTCTTTTTCAAGTTTTAACTCGCCTGGTTTAATAGTTCTTGGCTTTCCAGAATTGCGTTGTTCACCTAAAAATGAATGGATAGTCATACCACCAATCTCAGCGGCTGCAATTCCAGTAGGTGCTAGCTTCCGCATCTTTTGAATTCTATTTGTACTAACAAAATAGTCAGTAACATCACGAATAGGCTGCGATTTTCCTGTACCGCCACATCCTGGTATACACATGATGAATTGACCATTGTTACTGCCTATATGTGTATAATATTCTGGACATGAACATACCTGCATGTGGCTGTTTGTCACCATCGAGATGACTTGTTATTATCATAAATGCAGCTCTTTGCTCTCTATTTAGTGTATATTGATCAACAATGGTCTTCTGGTTACAGTATGTCGTACTTACTACTGACGCAACTGAAAGGATTGAGTTATAATTATCAGATACGTTTATATTCGAAGTAGTTGAGTTTATTAGCGTTACAACTGTATCTTCCATATCATCATTGTTTGACTCGTCGTCCGTTTTATAACTTTTGCCAGTGATTAAGTTTCGTCTAACTCGTTCTCTTTCGATTTTTAGTTGTTCTTGCCATTTAGTATTGAGTTGAACGAAATCAACTTTTATTAAAATTTGATTTTTTACTGCAAGAAAATAACATTATTGTGAAGCTGAGTTGTTACAAATTAATATTGCTTACTGTGCGTATGAGAGAATCGTCCCATTTTTTCTACAGTTTCTATAGTTTCTTCGATATATACATTTTCTATTGATTTTTTTATGCTGTTTATTGCAACTGTAGTAGAATCATTTAAATTACCAAGTAATTCAAGTAAATCTTCGCTATCACTTGTATCATCATATTCGTCGTGTGCATTTTGATTTTTTGGAAATAGTTCAGGATCGATCGTTTCATCCTCGACTTGAGCTTCTGCAATAACTTTAACTAAATGTTCATCTCGGTCTTTCTTACATTCATGTAAAATTTGAATATTATCGATGATATTCCATGAGTGTGCAGATATATAATGCTGGCGAGAGTTAAGTGCATCTACCCGATTCTGATTCACATCACAGAGATCCGATACAGTTCTCCAAGGCATAGAAAGTGTAAGAATAGCTCGACAGTATCGTTCTCGGGTATATTCGCGATCTCACCGAGGTTTTTGGGGACCATGAAGGATTGGTACACGGTACTCGTTATGTTTCATCACTAAGTGGGTTGTTGATTGAGGGTGTTATAAAGAACTAATAGGACGAATAAGTTCATCAATCATTTGTTCTTTTCAACGAAAATAAATACAGTGAAGCGTTCGATACCTTTCATAGAATCATTTTAATCTCGTAGGAATTGCGCTAACAACTTATCGATCAAACTGAAAATTGCAGAAGACCTCAAGATATTTTCCTCTTCATAGAATACACTCAATTATCATATGTTCATGCGAGGCATGGTTAAAGTAATGTCGTAAATGTTCGAAAACATGGAAATGCAGAACTGGCACTTTGGATTTTGGAGTTTTGCCAAAATGGGGTTTCATCTTCAATCATAAAACATATAAGGCAAAATTGTTAAGAGTATAACGAAGGTCGATCCTCTCATGGACGCTTTCTTGAGAGATAAAAAACTTGTGAATCACTCAGCCAAATGGTTTTAGAATATTACAGCTAGATAAATGAAAAAAGTAGAAGAAACAACATTATTGTAATATCGCCTCATTTCATTAGATGCATTTTTATCATCTAAACCTATCCATCGTATGTTAAATGATATCAATTATATCATAAAAATACACAAGATGATACCGATTTTGGTGAACTGGATCGATTAAAAATCTCGAACGAGATATTATCTTCAAACAAATCGAGGAGAATCATAAAGAAAAGATGGAATTAGCAGAATATATCGAAAACGAACAAGAAAAGTATTTATCACAGAAAGATATCAATAACTCACAAATGCAGCATCGCAAAGTTGCATTGAAAGCAATTGACACTCGACGTCTTCATATGATTGAACATTTCAACAACATATAAAAACAGAACGTTCCTAACTTGTTTGTTTTGCTTTCTCTCTCTCTTAACTCATTATATCATGCATAGGTTAGCCACATTTTAGCATTCGTATTTTAGATAGAAAAACAATCGAATGGATGGTATTGCAAATCGAGAACCGCAACGAAAGAAATGTCATGGTAATAGAATAAATCAACGTTTTCGACAGAAATGGCGTAAACGTGGAATGAAATGGGCTAAGATTGAAAACCTACTCAAGAAGCGAAATCATACTAATATCCAACAAAATAGTCGGACAAGTGATTATATGAGAGATATTGGCGATATTATCGATATGACTACAATGCCAACGATGAATCTAAATTTAAATAAACGTCAACGAAATATTTCATCACAAAATATAGTTTCAGCTTCAGCAATACCTAAATCAACAAGTTCTTCATCAATTAGTCAACCTCTAAGAAAAAAAAATCGCAACTGGAACACCTATGCTAATCGAAGATATTCGTCCAGTAGAAATGAAGTTCGGTCGTTATAGACGACCAATTTATTTTAAACTATCATCAACATTTCTTTTCCAAATGTTGAGTAAAAAATTAAATTGTTCTATTAAGAACACAGATATACAATTGTATATTCGAAAACGATTAGAACTATTGGATCAACATTATTGTTCCGAAGCTCATTTACAACTATGGAAGTCATTTCTTCGTATAGGTCTGGAATATCAAGAATGGCCAGTAAGTTCGTTATTTTCACTAAATGATAGATTGATTTCATGTCTTTTTCGTTAAAAGGATGAAGTCTGTGCAATGAGAAGAACAAACAATTTTCATCTATGTCAACAACATGTCGTCAAATATACAGAAGATATTGAACAACAAACGAGAATGTATCAAATGAAAATAAATCAACAATCTGCTTTTTGTCCAATTATACCAATATCATTTGATCGCATTGATCATTGTCTCAAGGACTTTGTTGAGTCAGAACGACAATATCTTTTCAAACGCAATCAAAATCAATTGATTAAATTTAAAAATGATATAGATAGAAAGAAATTATATCAAACAATTAATACGAATGTTTTCAATGCTAATAGTCTTGATCAATTGATGAAAATTAGAGAACACCAAGCAGTAATATGGGAAGAACAAATGGTATTAGAAATGAGAATTTTTTGTCGATTTTTACCAAAAGACTTTGATCATCAGGAAAATTTTATATCATCTATCGTACCGGTAACCATGAATAAAGAACGATTACAAACTATTCAAGAGGCGAAACGAAAATGGCTCTAACTCTTCCTTTCTACATATGAAATTAAATTACGAGAATATGATATTCAATATCAAGAAATCTTTGATCGACTACATTTTCTTGCAACTAATGAAATTAAGAAATTTATGTCATGTTTCACTGATCAATTAAAAGAAAAGATTATCAGTCGTTTATCGCTTTATCGAAGAAGATTTCAAAGAAATCGTCAACGTTCATCTACAACAAAAAATACGGCTGATGTTTCACCCTCACCCTATCTAGATCTCGTATCGAATCCATTTACTTCACAAGAATGGAATTATCTCAAACTAGGTCCGTCATTTATTCGATTAAATCAAAGTGTGTTACGTTCTGATGAACAACAAGAAATTGAAATTAGAAATGAACATCGTGGTATTTTTACTAAAGTTCAAAATCATCTTGTGAATTTCTATCATATACCAAGAACAGTACCAATCTTTCAAGATTATTCTCAACAACTTCTCGATTATATTCGCCAATGTTATTTTTCATCAGTACCTTATAAAGATCGAATTCAAGCAAAAAAATATGCTCAAATCGTGGCATCCACTCGGAAAAAGCTTATGAAACATCGTCTCGTTCTTCGTCTGACTGATAAAGGACATAATTTTTATGTTGGATCGGCAAGTGAATTTGAAAAGAAATGTCAACAATTCTTTCATGATACCAACACTTTTATGGAATTAACAGAGAATCCATTTGACGATCTTCTAAATAAAGTTATTCAATTGCTCAATAGTTTTTATTGTAAGAAGCTTATATTGAAATGACAGTATGAAGCAATGTTACCTGAACGAACTAAGTGTGAATTAGCACATCTATATTTCAATCCAAAAACACATAAGGTATAAGGGAAAAGATTTTCGATCGTTTCTATGTCATTCAATTTAGGACAACAATACCTGTTCGACCAATTGAAAATACTATTCATGCTTCAACCACGAAGATTTCTGACTTTTTAGATAAACATATTCGTCCTATATTTGATAAACATTGTTATGCAACTACTATTTTCGATGGTGCTCATTTCATCAAACGAATCAATAAATATGTTAAAAATGGACTTTTCAGACCAACTACCATATTCTGTACCTTTGATATTCATAATCTCTATACTATGTTACCACAAGATGAAGCATTAAATATTCTCGTTGAATTTCTACATGTTCATGGATATCGTAAAGTCAAAGGAATCGTACTTGATACGATTCGAAAATTAGCATCAATTGTAATTAAAGAAAATATGTTTGTCTATGGAAAGAAAATCTATAAGCAAACAACAGGTGGGGCTATGGGTTCATCATTTACATTAACGCTAGCTAATCTATTTATGTGGAAATGGCAAAAAGAACTCGTTCGTCAGCATAATATTTGTGGTGAATTCTTCGGTCGGTATATTGATGATGTTTTTATGGCATGGAATAGAACGGAACAAGAATTACGAAAATTATTAGCTGACGCTAATCAATGGCATCCAAACATCTAGTTAGATTATAAAGTTAGTCAAAGTCTTCCATTTCTTGATGTATTTCTGACGAATAAGAATGGTATTCTCTTGACATCCGTTTATCACAAACCATCTGCTGAACCCCTATGTTGTTCCATTCACATCTGATCATCATCCATCTGTACGGGCCAATATAATCGATATTAAGTTATCTCGAGTTATTCGTTATTCATTTACATTTGAAGCATTTAAGAAAGAATTATGTTATATTAAATTGATACTCTTATATAATGGGATAGTATCTACGATTTGATTTTCTATCCTATATAGTGAACGTTTCTTCTAGATATCCTCCAATATACATCCATGATCGCTTTGAAAAATATTTTATTTCATACATCAATCCAGCTAATTGGTCACTAATTATAAGTGATAGAATGCAATTTTTTCTTTTAAGAGATAAATTACTTTTACAGCCAACAACTTATCAATCTCAACTAGCTCGAAGAATAGAACTGGCTACAAGAAATGATCCAGAAATAGATGATTCGACAGCAATAAAACCAGTCAAAACTCAGAGCAGTCGTCTGTTCATTCATTACAAACATGAAAAACGATTTCGTCCATTTAAAAGAAACATGCATTGAGTGTTTACAAGCGTCTTTCAGAACACACCCGTAATTGATGTAAAGTCAATCGAACTATGTATATATATATATTCTTTAAACGATTCTTTTTTGTCTCTATAATCTTTTAAATAATAATGATATGTTTTTCCATTTCAGATAAACTTTTTATCTATATCTTCAGCAATAATAGCAGTTCGTCGAGCATGGAAATTCCATTTTATCAAGATTGGTATCCAAATATGATGAATAAAGATCAAAAGATTGAACAAGTAAAATCAACACATGGTCAAGAATATAATCGTAAGAAAAGATGTCATAGCAATCGTAAATTACAACGATATCGTCAAAAACTTCGTAAACAAGATCTTAAGTCAACAATTGACACTGAACCGTTAACAACGAATTATGTAAAAGATGGTTCAGTTGATTGTACTGTTATATCTGATGAAATATTATATGAAAGAACATCAGTTGTTTTCAATCAATCAGAAAAGTTCAATCAATTATTTAACAGCAATCCAAAGATACGATTTATTCGTCAATATATAAGTTTAATAGATCAATTATCATACCAAAAATTGCGAGAAACTCAATGACAATATTATCAGCATATTGGTATGACACAAAATATTTGGTATGGTCATATGTCCAAAGTCTTTGCTGAGAAGAATTCCATTTGTTATTGGATATGGAAGATCAAACAGTGTTATCAAATATCGTCTTCAAGAAATTGTATCACAATGTAACATTAGTGCTGATTGTGTCTGTGAAATGAAAGAATTATCTTCAGTTCTCTATGACATAGTACAAGAGATACAACGACCATTACAACACGATTTCGAATATAAGAGAGTTATGGTCATTTTGGACGCTACTT